TACCTCTGTGATGGCTCGGACAGCACTCCAGTGGGAATCTGTTCTGGAAGAAAATGGAGGGATTTATAGTAAATCCTCACATGAACAAAAATTTAACCACTAAATAGCACTCCGTTTTCAAACAGCAGCAGCTTCACAGCCGTATCTGAGACATTCCATTTACCTTTTTTTAATTTCAGTTCCATCTGCTGTTTCATCCACCACTTCTATGTGTTCTTCTGACTCCTCCTGGCTTTCTTCCTCTTCCTTAGGAACCTGGAATTCACATTTAAAATGGCAAAGGGCTTGATTTCTTCCAAGTTCTGTTCTTAAAAATGTCTTCTCCAACCACAGCCCATGTTAATTTAAGTTTAGAATAAATTAAGGAAGTTTAGAAAAGGAGATTTTTTTCTCTCTGTGATGCAGAAAATTGTCCTGCATTTACATGGACTCCCATTTCAGATAAATTATTAAACCCCCAAATTAATCCACAGCAGCTTGGAGTCTTCAGAGCTGGCCTTTAGCAACAAAGATTCTGACTTTCATATTTAAGAAACTTCTCTGCCACAACTTCACAAGGCACAGAAATGCTGCTTTTGATGGCTATCTCCATGCCCATGGATAAAAACATGGAGTTATTTCCAAATAATGTGCTTTATTTCCAAACAACACACTGCTTTGTGACCCATTTGGTGCAGCTCATTAATTATATTATTTTTTATATAATTAATTATATGCTCATTAATTGACATAAAAGAGCAGAGGGGGGATGAGGACAGAGGTTGCAGCACACCAACCGCAAGGTAGGTCCTGGGAACGAGGCCTCTCTCCCCCTTGGAATTTTCAGCTACCCACCAGCCATCCGCCTTCTTGTCGTGTATGAGCAGGATTTCACCTTTCTTTGGCATCAGAAAAAGAGACAGAGACAAAAAAAAAAACAACCAAATATTTAAATGAAAAAGGACCTAACTCCAGTTTCTCCCCAAATCCCACAACTGGCTGAATCCCAAAAGCAGAGGATTTCATTATAGTTACTGCTTAACTCAGTGATCTGCAGTAAAAACCCTTTACAGGGAGAGATTTACCACAAATGTGAGATCCCCTTCCTGCTGGGCATCAAAGTTTCCAACAGCAACACATTCTCTAACATTTGGATCATCCAACAACTTCTCCACATCTTCTTCTTCTTCTTCAGTGTCCTCCTCCTCCTCACCTTCTTCATCTTCACTCTCCTCCTCTTCTTCATCTCCCTCTTCTGCATGAGGACCTTTCTGGTGTTCCTCATCCCTACCCAAAACAAATCAAACAATTTTTTAGTATCATCTCCACCGAACTTTTTGAAATGCTGTCAAGCCTCTGCAAGGACATTATTCAGATCCAGCATTTTCATTCCTGTGTTTTGCTCTCTGTCCTGAAGAATCTCCTCCAAACCTCACATTCATTATCCAGCACTCTTGAAAAAATCCCAGCCAGTCATAAATGACTTCTCTCCTGAGCACTTCTTTTTTTATCCTTCTGTTATTTTTCAGCTAATCAAGGGGATGTGATAATTATTTTCCAGGGCCCATTCCAGCAATCCTTTTAAAAACCAGGTTGCATTTGTATGTTTAAGCTACTCACCCTGGATAATTCTTTGTCACATTTTCCTGATCCAAGACAAGAAGGAGTTTCTGCAGCTGCTGGGAGAGTTTCAGCAACAGCTTTTCTTCCTCTTCCTTCCTCTGGCTGTAATTCCCCACTGGCGCCGGCTCGTCAGCCTGACAGAGAACCCAGAAAATGCCCCAAAAAATCAAAGTTCTCCAATAAATTGCTCAAAGAATCAAAGTTCCTCTATAAATTAAGTTTTCCAGAGATTCCTTACAAGCTCTCCCCTTCCTGGGCTGCTCTCATTCCCTCTTTAGTGACAATTTTCTTACCCTTTCACCTTTTTACCAAGGTGAAATTCTCTGTTTTCACCTGGGACTTGGACAAAATAAAGCATTAAAATGAATTTTTAAATTATAGAAATGAATATAAAAAAATATAGATTGGAGAGATGACCAGCAGGGATTGTGCAGTACTGGGCATTGCTCTTGGACTGAGGCATCTAAAATAGAGCAGTGATTTTCTTTAAACACTTTCCACGGTGGATTTTGAAGAAAACCACAAATTAATCTCCATACTTACTTTTTTCAAAGCATGGAGAGCATTTGTATTCTCCTCCACCAATTTCTTCAGCTCTGTACATCTGCATTGAAAGCAAGACAGACAGACAGACAGTATTTTCTTAAAATTCTGATCCAAACCACACCTGCTGACTAAAAGGTGTCATTTTAGGTGTTGTGTGTCCCTTCAGGCTGAGAATTCCAAGCCCAAAGAGCAACATCTGACAGAACCCCAGAATAGCTGGGGTTGGAATGGACCTCTGGAGCTCACCCAGCCCAAGCCCACTGCTCAGGCAGGGTCACCCAGAGCAGGTGACACGGGAATGCATCCAGGTGGGTTTGGGATGTCTCCAGAGAGGGAGACTCCACACCCTCCCTGGGCAGCGCTTCCAGTTCTCTGCCACCCTCATGGAGAAGTGGATCTTGTGTTTTCATTTATGGCCATTGCTCCTCATGCTGCTGCTGGGCACCACTGGAAGGAGCCTGGCACATCCCCTTGGCACCTGCCTTGGAGATATTTATGTGGATTGGTGAGATCTCCTCTCAGTCCTCCCTTCTCCAGACTGTCCTCAGCCCCAGAGGGGTGGGGAGGAGCCGGCCCAGAAAACAGGGGAGAGAAGGGGCTGGGAAGGAGGCAGCCCAGAAAACAGGGGAGAGGAGGGGCAGGGAGAACGCTGTACAATTGGGAGGGAAAAAGCACAGAGGGAACGAGCACTACTGAGGGTACGAGAGGGGAGGGTGAGGGCAGCGCCCGGGCGGTGGGACCGAGGGATGGGTTCGGGATGGGGCTCGGGACCCCGCTCACCTCAGCCAAAGAGCCTCCCGCTGCCCGGGGGCTGCAGCCGCGCTGTCCGCCCGCAGCTCCTCCACCTGCAACAGGGGACAACAGGGGCGGTCAGGGGCCGGGGGGCGAGACAGCCGGCACGGTACCGGTACCAGCCCTGGTACAGCTCGGTACAGCCCCGGTACCGGCCTTGGTACATCCCCGGTACGGCACCGGTACCGGCCTTGGTACATCCCCGGTACGGCACCGGTACCGGCCTTGGTACATCCCCGGTACATCCCCGGTACCGGCCCTGGTACATCCCCGGTACATCCCCGGTACCGGCCCTGGTACATCCCCGGTACCTGCGCCCGCAGCTCCCGGCTCCGGCGCTGCACCCGCTGCAGCGGCCCCCGCGCCCGCCGCTCCGACATGGTCACCGGGCAACGGGGCAGCGCCGGCGCCGGGGGATGACGGGCCCGGGGCGGGGCCGCAGCGCTCCTACCGCACACCGGGCAGCCCCCGGCTCTGAAAGCCCCTTCGCAGCCCATCTGGGGACAAACGGGCTGTGGCGTTTTGTGATCCCGGTCATGGAATCACAGCTGGGGTTGGAATCAGCTCTGGAGACCATCCAGGGTCACCCAGGATCGTTACGTTTGGGAAAGAGCTCCAAGGTCAAGGCCAGGCCTTAAGGGGCTCTGGGTACTGCTTTTTCTCCCCCATCGATTTTAGAACTCCACAACAGCTCTGAAAACCAGCAGCCTGCAACGAATCCCCCAGTACTCCTGGAATTCTCTAGCAACGGGAAGAAGGAATTTGCTACAGCTACCTTCACAATTCCTTATCCAAAGTGCCAGGCGGAATTCATACTCCTTTATTTTACTCGTTTATTCACCCAGCCAACGCATGAGCTCTTTCACCACTTAATTCTCCCCACGCACACCCATAATGCGACTTGTTACGTGTGCCCATAAGGCACCTTTTCACATTTATTCCAGAAATAAACACCACATGATAACTTTTTCTAGTTTATTGTGTTGGCAGCACTTCCTGGCAAGGGCAGAGCAGCCGGCTTAGAGCTGGACAAGTGCAGACAGCCCTTTGAAATATGGAAATCCCAGAATCATGGAATCACTTTGGTTAGAAAAGACCTCCTTGATCAGCGAGTGCAACCCGTGACGATCCCCACCTTGTCACCCAGCCCAGAGCACTGTCCAGTGCCACGTCCAGTTCTTCCTTGGACACCTCCAGGGACGAGGACTCCAAATCTCCCCGAGCAGTCCATTCCAGGTTTGGGATCATTGCTTGCATATCCTCAGTTCTTTGTTAGCTTAGTCTGACACAGTTTGGGATCTTGCTTTGCGAAGGGCAGAAGAGAAGCCCTGCTGTTCCAGGGATGCTGTCCTTCCCCAGAAGTCCTTCTCTCCCAGGGATGCTGTCCTTCTCCAGAAGCCCTGCTGTTCCAGGGATGCTGTCCTTCTCCAGAAGCCCTGCTGTTCCAGGGATGCTGTCCTTCTCCAGAAGCCCTGCTGTTCCAGGGATGCTGTCCTTCTCCAGAAGCCCTGCTGTTCCAGGGATGCTGTCCTTCTCCAGAAGCCCTGCTATCCCACGGATGCTGTCCTTCTCCAGAAGCCCTGCTCTCGCAGAGATGCTGTCCTTCTCCAGAAGCTCTGCTATTCTACGGATGCTGTCCAGCCGGCAGCCCTGCTCTCCCAGGGATGCTGTCCTTCCCCAGCAGCGCGTCACCCGTTTCCAGCGGCTCAGGCAGCGCTCACCGAAGCGGAGCAGGCACCCGGAGCCCGCTGCCAGGGCCAGGGGCAGTCCGGCCGCGGCTGCCGGCGCTCAGGCCGCTTCCAGCTTCTCCTGTGCTGCGGCGAGGCGGCGCTGGAGGTATCGCTGCCTCCAGCGCAGGAAGCGGCGGCGCGCCCGGCCCGCCTGCCAGCCCACCACCACCCCGGCGGCGAAGGCGGCCAGCAGCGCCCAGCGCACCACCCGCGGCCGCAGCGCCTCCAGCACCATCCCGGCCTCGCCGCCGAGCCCCAGCCCGGCACCGCCTCCCGCTTCCGCCGCCGCGGGGGCGGGACCGGCCCCGGTAAAGGCGGCGGGGCCGGGGAGGCGCCGCGTCCGCCCGCGCCATGGCCGAGGCGGCAGCGCAGGTACCGCGGCCCCGAGGCGCCCTGGCCGCTTCTCCCTCCCCTCGGGAACTCCGCAGAGTTTCCCCGAAGCTCCTCACACGCTGTCTTGTGTTTTCCCCAGGATCTCCTGCTGGCAGCAGCGTTTGTTTCCGATGCGCAGTACAACAGGAATATTCCCTTTAAGACCTCCCCGGAGGCTGTCAGGTAAGGAGGGATGCGCCCCCCGGTCCAGCCACACTTGCGGAGAGCCAGCCGCATCCGTGGCCAAACAGCAGCAGCCAGAAAAGGTTTGCGGTGCTAAGAAGGGTGACTGTGTGGGGTGCCAAAAACTGGACTTAAGCTGAAATACTTAAAACGGGGCTCAGCGCATCTGTATGTTGAGGATGGGAAATGACATTAAAAAGTTGTGGTTTGCTGGCGGGGAGAAAATAAAACTAATATAAAGTCTTCCAAGCCTCTGGGGGAATGAAGAGTTTGGGAGGCTTGGTCAGCCCTCAGCTCTGTGGAAGGTGTTGGAGTGGCAGAACCAGGTGGCTGCAAAGTTAAATCTTTTTTGTTTACTATAATAAACATTCTGTTATTTAACCCTACTCCAAAAGGCATTATAGTATCCATCAGCTCTGAGACTGATGTGGAAACAAATTGCCAAATTCCTTGCTGGCAAAAATGTTTGGGACAACAAGTGCTGTTCTTCCAGGATGCATTTGGTGATGCCCTGGGGATGTGCCCTGTAGCCTTTATTTGTGATGCCTTCTCCCTCCAGGCTTTATCACCTCTATAACCACTGGATGATGCGAACAGCCACCTACTTCTTCATCTTCCTCAACCTGTCCCTTGCCCTGTTTGAGGAACCTGCTGTGTATCCGCTCCCCTTCCTGGTGAGTTTGTGCTGCAGGAGCAGCAAATGCAGCTGCTGGAGCCAGCAAGGGTTTCTTGGCTCAAAGTGGTTCAAAGAGGTGCCAAGAGACAGCGGATGGTGATGTTTTTGTGGGTATCATTGATCCTCTGCTCTGGTGAGACCCTGCCTGGAGTCCTGCATCCAGCTCTGGGTCCCCAGCACAGGAAGGACATGGAAAGCTGGAGTGAGTCTGGAGGAGGCCACCAAGTTGATCAGAGGGATGGAACAGTTCTGCTGTGAGGAAAAGCTGAGAGAATTGGGGTTGTTCAGCCTGGAGAAGTTTCAGAGTGGCAAATTGGCTCTTCCAGTACTTGAAATAGCCAAGAAGAAAGATGGAGAAAGACCAAGGGTCTGGAGTGCCAGGACAAGGGGGAATGGCTTCCCACTGCCAGAGGGCAGGATGAGATGGGACACTGGAAAGAAATTGTCCCCTGTGAAGGTGATGAAGCCCTGGCAAAAGTTTGCCAGAGAAGCTGTGGCTGCCCCATCCCTGGAAGTGTTCCAAGCCAGGTTGGATGGGGCTTGGAGCAGCCTGGGGTAGTGGAAGGTGTCCCTGTCCATGGCAGGGGGTGGAATGGGATCATCTTTAAGGTCCCCTTCAATCCAAATGATTCTGTGATTTTATAATTCTGTGATCTGTTTGAAATGGGGACAAAAAAGGGACAGGAGCTGGCCAGGGACCACAGGAGCCACTGTGGCCACCAGCAATGGCCCTTGTGACTGTGGACAAAGTCAAATTGCTGTTCTCCGTCTCAGAGGCCAATTCCAGCCTTCTTTGGGACTCGAGTCCAGTCCTCATGTGTGAAGGTAGAAGTTTTACTTTAGGCCAGACATTTCTGCAGCCTTTATTTGTGCTGCACCAGTGTGATTGTGAAAGATGTACTCCTTGAATCCTAAGCAAACACAGACTCACTGTGCTGCCTGTGGCAGAGAATTCTGTAAAAGGAAGCCTGAAAATATCGCTCTGCCTGTTTTTTATTGTGCAAAAAGGAATATTGCTGCTCCTGGTTGTGCTGGCGGAGCCCTGCTCTCTCTGCAGGCCACGTCAGTGCTGGAGGTGTTGTGCCTTCTGGTGTTCCTCGGCCGGCTGACACATTTTGCCAAAGTCACCCTGCACAACGTGTTCTGGAAGGACACCAAGAACATCTGCATCATGGTGGCAATCCTGGTGAGTTGGGCCCAGGGGAGGTGGGGTTTTTCCCCCTCGTGTTGTTCTCCTGGGATCCCAGCCCTGGCATACACGAGCCATGGCCAAACCAGCCAGCTCTCACAAACCTGCCGTGTGTGCACCTCTCCTGCATCAACGAGCACTGTTCACTGTCTGGACACATTCCAGAATTACTTCTGGGACCTTTCCTTCTTTCTCCTTCAGTTATCCCTGACAGACCTGGCCGTATATGGGGTCCTCAGGCTGTATGACGTGAGGAGCATCCGATGGTCAAGGATTGTGAGGCCCATCTTCCTCATCAACTTCGCAGAGAGTCGCCAGGTAAGGAAAAGGCCCGGTGGCATGTCCAGGGTCCTGGTTTTTTGGACAGCCTGCCGCTTTCCACGGTCCAGGGGATTTGGCAGAAAGATTTTATGGCAGAATTTAGGGTCCTGTAAGAGAAGGTTTGTTTCAGTAGTGGCCTGAAGCAATAATTTGGGGTGGGTGGATTCACACAGTACTACAGAAAAAAAGCCCGTATTTCTCCCCGAGTCAGGGATCAGGTTACTGATTTCTGAAGTCTCCTGGTAATCAAGTGTCATGGTATTCTCAAACCTGTAGTCCAGATTTGGACTCTGATTCCTCTCAGCATGGAGAGATCTTTGTCCTGCTGCTCAAGACTTGTCTGGTCCTGACTTATATATTAATAAACTGTGATGTGGAGGCCTGGGGGGAGGGAGCAGCTCAACGTTTGGGCTCAGAGCATGTGTTTTGTGGCCTGGAGTGATGGATTTCTGTCCCTGGCATGTTCCCTGCAGCAAGAACATCTCAGCACCGCCCTGGGCCCTCTGTCCCTTGGCTCCCGAGTTCACTGTGATGTGTAGCTAGATTCCATATGGGATCCCCCTCTGGAGAACAAGGAGGAAAGGCCTGGGACTCTTTTACCCCAGTTTAGGGGTTTGATCCAGATGGGATGGTGAGGGGAAAAAGGGGTGCCACGTTGCCTCTGAACACTTCCCTTGTCCCTGGCAGATCCGGAGGGCCTTCCGCAGCATCCGCAACACGCTGCCAGAGATCACCTACGTCTTCCTGCTCTTCATGTTCAGCCTCCTCATGTTCTCCCTCATGGCCTTGAAGCTGTTTGGAGAGAGGTGTGGAGACTCCCTTTGCTCCTGGGATACTCTGGGCAGACTCCAAACAATTCCTGCAGCAAGCACTGCTGATAGGTGCAGCTCGTGTTGTGGAACACGTGATGCCAGTGCTTAACTCCAGGCTGTCCTCTTCCTCCTAGGAATCTCCAGACAGCAGAAGGCTTGCCCTACTTCAGAAACTACCTGGAGATTGTGTTTGACCTCTACGTGCTGGTGACAACGGCAAACAGCCCGGATGTCATGTATGGATGTCGTGTAGATGATCAGATCTTTCATTGTGTTCTCAGGGGTCTCTGTGCAACCTTTAATTTGCACAGCAGAGTTAAAATCCTGTGGGTGTTTGGCTTCTCATCCCTATCTCTTCTGGGTTCCTGCTGTAGTTTGTGCTGGGAAGGTGCTGTCAGGAGTAGGACAGGGAGGAGTGGCTCAGTCATCTATGTGCTGGAAATATCTTGAGCACAGCTGGGATGGTACAGGGAGCTTGGGCATTTAAACTGAGAAATAAAATGCTGCTCATCCTAGAGCAAGTGGAAAAGCAGATCTGAGTGCAGCAAGGTCAAAAAATAACATCTGGCTGAGGCATTGCCTCATGTCTTCTCTTAAATTTGGCTGCACTGGCAGAGATTTCATCTCTGTGCTGTCTTTGCAGCTGGTCAGTCAGGGCCTGACAAACCAGGATGAAAAATCCAGCAGAAGAAAAGATGAGTGTTCCCTAGCTGAACTAATGCAGTTTTTAGCTTTTATTTGACAAGTTTGATCCGACAGTCCAAAATGGCACTTGGAAATCCATGTGGGAGGCTGTTTTCTCATGGACTCACTTTCCCTGTTTGTCTTTCTGGCAAGCAGCAATCCCTTTTCCCTTCTCTAGGATGCCAGCGTTTGACTTCAGCTCCTGGTACGCCCTGTTCTTCATTGCCTTCGTCATTGTCAACACTTACATCTTCATGTCTCTCTTCCTGGCCGTGGTCTACAACAACTACAAAAAACACCTGAAGGTAATGCCTGGAGAGGCTTGTGACCAGTGGATTCCTGCTGTTCTCTGTCAGGAACCTCTGGCTTTCCCTTGGGAAGTTTTGGGAAGGGGAAACAGCTTCAAAGCACAAGACCCACTTTTCACATCATGGGATTGCTGGGAGTTCTGCTGTTGGCATTGAGTTAAATATTCTATGGTGCCTCCAGCAGATAAAGAGCACATTCTGCATTATCTTGGAAGCTTAGTCCTAGCTCAGGAATGCTGTCTCCATGCAGGGACCTGCTTTTGCACACAGCATCTGTGTGTGTGCTCTGAGAGCAGGGGAACTGGAAATGGGAAGTCTGAGTAAATCAGAATTTTTGTTCTGCCCAAACTGGGTACGGGCAATTTGGGACTTGTGATTGAAGTGGGAGAGCTGGGAGTTCCTGGGTGCTCCCATGGGGGGGTTGGATCTTTCTCAGGAGGCAGAAGGTGTTCCTCTGCTCCCAGTCATGTGCAGAAGAGAATCCCCACCGCTGCTCTCAGCAGGATTCACTTGTGGATGGGAAGCACGTGTGGACACATCCTCTTTGCTTCTTTGGCTGTGCAGATCCCGTGATCTTTGTCACCTCCTTCCTGTCTGCCACTACCCTTTGTCTTTCCTTCCGGTTTTTCTGTGTTGTCCCAGCATCCAGCAATCTGTTGATCCTTCCAGAGCTCTGTGTGGAGAACCCACAGCTGCCTGTTAAACACCATTTCTCACCTCTCCCCGCATTAACTGCGCTGTGCTTCGTGTCCAGTGTCGTTCCCCTGGGTCTCTTCTTGCATCTCTGTGCTGTGAAAATGAGTTTATTTGTTAAAGGAAAGGGGAAGGGCACCTGCAGCTGCCTGACTCCCGATGCTCTCTCTAGAACGAGATCCGTAAACTCGCCTACATGAAACGCCGCAAGATGATCGAGGCCTTCAACCTCCTGAAGGAAGAGGAGGGAGAGCAGTTTGTGGTTCGGGAAGCCCGGTGGAAGCAGCTGGTCAAGCTGGTGGCTCCTGACACCAGCAATTCCCACCGGGAGCTGCTGCTCCGCATCTCGGATGACGAGCAGAAAGGGTTCGTAGGTGAGCAATGGGGACTGGGGAGGAGCCAGGGGCCGGGAGCCTGATCCTTCAAGGGGTTTGGCACTGGGATTTATGATCTGTAATGGCCCCAGAGGGGCTCAGAATCACAGAGTTGTTGAGGCTGGAAAAGACCTCTGAGATAAGAGTCCAAGCTGTGCCTGCTCCTCGCCTTGTCACCCAGCCCAGAGCACTGAGTGCCACGTCCAGTCATTCCTTGAGCACCTCCAGGAGTGGGGGCTCCAGGCTGCTCTTCCTGTTTCCCTCCAGATTCCTGGAGTCCTGAAAGATTTTTCTTGCTGCTATAGCCCATGTCCCACACGCTGTGGGTGGCCCTTCATGGCCATTTGACATCAGGCCAAACTCTCCATGGCATGTGGGACCTCCTGTTCTCAGCAGAGGATGTGGAAAGCCTCCCGTCCCTATCAGATGCAATGTGGCTCCCCACACAGTCCTCTGGAGCGGGAATATTGGGAGACATGGGTCAGTCTCCTCGTTCTGAATCATTCTGGGGTGGTTGTTGGCCCATGGCTCAAGCCAGCTCCCCAGGAATGGGGAGGAGAAGCTGCTCCAATTCCAAGTTCAGCCTGTTGTGGTGAATACCGGTCTGGGATTGGCTTTGTTGGGAAAGATGAGCTCAAGATACGGAGTCCAGATGGCTGCCACTCCTGTGGGCTCAGATTTGCATTTGGCAGATGCTGTTGATGTGCCATGAGATCAGGCTGACACGTGGTACTCTGCTGCAGACAAGAAGTCCTTCATGCAGCTGGCAGACCTGCTCAACATCCAGGTGGTGACGCTGAAGATCCGCAGGCACCCTCTGGCACGCCGGCTGCCGGCCCTGTACGGATCCGCGCCCAGCCGGCTCCTGCGCAGCGTCGTGAGGCACAGGTGAGCTGTGACACCGCCGAGGGCTCACCTGGGCACGCTGCTGGGGAGGACAGACTGTCCCCTCAGGGGCTGTGCCACCGCTCCTGGCCTGCCTTTGTCAGTGTTGGAGGACCCAGCTGTGGCCCAGTGCCCGAGCTGGGTTTTGCTGACATCAGGCTCTGCTTTGTGTCTTGCCAGCACTGAAGTGCTGTGCTTAGATCTGCTCCTACCTCAGCAGTCTCTGCTGCAGAGCTGTGTCCTGCTGCCTCATCAGATCTGGGAGTTCTCTAGAGCTCTTTTGCACTTCCAAGCCTTCCCAGAATCCCAAAATAGCTGAGGTTGCAGGGAACATCCGGGGATGGGCTAATGGAACCCCCCTGCTCCAAGCAAGGCCAGCCAGAGTAGGGTACTCAGGGCTATCCCAGCTGGGTCTAGAGTTGTCCCCAAAGGATGGAGGCTCCATAACATCTCTGCAACCCCTTCCAGTGCTTGATCATCCCTGGTTGAAAAAAAAAAACAAACAACTTTTTTGTTTAAATGGAAGTTCCTGTATTTCAACTTGTGTACCTTGCCTCTTGTGCTTCCACTGGATATCACTGAGAAGAATCTGGCTCCAACTTCCCTGCACCTCCCCATCAGGTATTTATGCACAGGAGCTGCTCCTGACCCTTCTCCCTGTCAGTCTGGACTACCCCAGCTCTCCCAGCACATTCCACTGTCCTGTCCTGTCAGTTTTGTGACCCTTTAATGCACCAGCTCTGTGTGTTCAGGCCTCTCTTATAGAGAGGGGAGCACAGCTGACCCTGGTTCCTCTGTCAGCACCTCCAAGCGTGGCCTCACCAGTACTGAGTAGGTGGGGGAAAATCACTTCCCTGGACCTGTTAACCAAATTCTGTGTTGGACTTCAAGTGCAAAATGAAACTCTTCAGTGACTTTCGGTTTGGGGAGAATTGATGGGTAAAGAATTTTTGAGAGAGGAGGCAAAGAGCTTCTGAAATAACTGTGTGACTTTGACCTTCTTGGGAGTTGCAGACTGAGCTCTCTTTGGTTCTTGCAGGGCTTTTGTTTGGACTTACGATGCCATCATCCTGGTAAATGCCATCTTCATTGCTCTGGATGAGGAAAGCCCCTACGTTTCCTATGCAGAGTGGGTGTTCCTTGCTCTGTACATCATTGAGATCCTCCTGAAGGTCTACACTTACGAACCCAGGGAGTTCTTTGGCAAAACCCAGTTCTGGAACTGGTGAGTGGGCTGGAAGTTTGTGTGGAGCGTGGTGGGTGCTGTGCTCAGCTCCTCAAGGACTGAAGCGCTCTGAATTCCTGTGCCAGGGTGTGTTTAAGATCAATCAGAGGATGTTGTGACAAAGCTCTCCCGTGTGCCCATAGTCTGAGCTGAGCCAGGGCTGCCTGGCCCTGATGTGAGGAGCAGGGGTCACTCCTTGTTTAAACCCTGCTCCTGTCCCCCAAAATCTAACAGCAGTGCCTTCCCTCGTGCCAGGTTTGATACTCTCATCATCTTTGCTGCCCTGACTGCAACGATTCTCAATGCCACCCTCAAGTCCAGTAAGTGCAGCTTGAGCAGCCTGCATGCCTTGGGAATCTTGGTGTCCTCCCCAGCCTTCTGCCAGCACCTCAGGCTGGAGAGGCTTTGTGACCAGACAAACAATTACTGGAGGATTTATAAGAACTAACCCAGTCTTCCTCTTTTCTTTTTTTTCTTTTTTCTATTTTTTTTTTTAGCTCCCTGTTATAGTGTTTAACAAGGCCACAATAATAACAAGTGAAAGAATTTTATCTAAACACATCCCGGCTTTATTTCCATTAATAAAAGTATCTTTGTTCTTTATTCAGCCATGAAGTACAACAGCCAGCAGATCCTGGACATTGTGTTGATCCTAAGAGTCCTCAGACTGATCCGGATTGTTGACAGCATTCAGAGGTGAGGAGAGAGTGGGATGGGGGATGGTTTTTGGGGAGGGGCTGATCTGTGCCAGAGGCAGTGCCCAGCACTGACCGTGGCCACCCCACAGAGCACCCCAAGGCTTTGTCCCAGCCTGCCTGGGATGAGCCCAGTGGCTGCAGCCTCTCTGGAGGCTTCTTTTGGGGATGTGGGGAGCGTGTGGTGGCCAGGGTGTGACAGTAACCAACGTGGGCTCTCTGTAGGTTCCAGGTCATCATGAACACCCTGATAAACATCGTCCCAACCATGCTGACTTTTGGTGGGCTCACTCTGGTAAGAAATCCTGATGTCCTGGCTCAAAGCACTCCAGTTCCACAGAAATGTGCCTTAAATCTCACACTCATGCTGTTTCCAAGGGGATAAATGCAATTCCCTGGATGGCAGGCCCTTGGAAGTGTAAGTGTCCGTTTGAATCGTGGCCATTGTGCAAGCAAAGGGTGCAGAGGGGCTGAATTCCTGCTTTTTTCCTGGATCAGGACATCCTCCTTGGATCCATGGGGTGTTCTGGCAGCCTGGGCTTTGCATCATAAGGAATCAAATCATGGTTTGGACAAGAGGCTGAATGAGAAACCTGGGTTTCAAATTATTTCCTAAAATGAGCTTCTGTTATGATTTGGGAACGTTCCTTATCCATATATAGTTCTTGGCTAATTATTCCTGCTTGGTGATTGCTGTTGGGTGGCTTGGAGCTCTGGAATCTGTGCTGCCCTCCAGTCCCTTGCTGTGCCTGTGGAAGCTGGAAAACCTGCTGGGATGCTGAGCTTGCCCTGGGGCTTGCAGCTTGCTGGAGAAGCAGGTGATGGGGTTTCTCTTCCCAGGTTGTGTATTGTGTGTTTGCTATCATTGGCATGGAGTTATTCCACGGGAAAATCCAGTACTTCCCAGCCAACTCGAATGCTCCTCACGCCCTGGAGTGCGGGAACCCAGCTCTCAAGGATTCCCTGTTTGCCCGTGGGAAGTACTGCAAGAACAACTTCAACAACTTTGCCTCCTCCTTCATCGTCCTCATGGAGCTCACCGTGGTCAACCAGTGGCACGATATCCTTTGTGGTGCACATTCCCAGCTGGATCCTTAGGAATTGGGCTTGGTGGTCCTTGTGGGAGATTGGGTTGTTCTCACATCCATGCTCCTCCCAAACTCTGCTCTTCCTGTGGCCCTGTACGTGGATGGGCAGCAGAGATGGTCCCTCAGAGGGTTTTGTTGGGCTCCTGGTTCCCCCCTCAGCTCTTCCTTCCCTCTTTTCCCTTAACTCCCACTCTACTCTTTGCCAATGGATTTGCCAATGTGACAGTTCAGCCTGCCAAGCTCTACTTCATTGCCTTCCACATTGTGATGGTGATAATCATTGTCAAGTACGTTTTTTGGGATGATTTCAGATGGAAAGGGGGATCTGTGCCTGCCAGGGCACTGCTGGTGGGCCTGGGGTCACCCATGGGAGACAGGTGGGCTGTGTTTAGAGGGGTCTGCTGTGTTCTTGTCCCTGCTCTGCTGCTCTGACCTGGAGGGGATGGAGCAGTGGGAAATGAGCCTGGGAATACTGAGATGGGCAATGCCAGTGAGGAAACGCTGCCTCAGTTCTGCTCATTGTTCCTTCCAGTATCTTTGTGTCCTTCATCTTGGAAGCTTTCTTTGTGGAGTACTCCCTGGAGAAGAGCGAAGTGGAAACTGCCATTGAGCAGAAAATCCAGGAGCTGGGAATGGGAGTTCAAGAGTAAGCCCCCCAAATGTGCCCGTGCTGGATGTGGCCAATTTGGCACCACTGATGAGGGAAAACCAGCCTCTGTGTCGAGGCATGAGCTGACATTCCCCTTCCTTGTCACAAAGTTCTGGCTCATGTTCCTGAAACATGGAGATTCCTCTTCCCTGTCATGAATTCCTGGCTCCTCTGCTGGTTTTGGTGGCAGTAGAAGGCCCCTGGTGTTAGCTTTGCTGCCTCCCATGGCTCTTGCAGCCAGGAATTCCAGCCCAGAAATCAGGAAAGATGCTGGAAAATAACCCTGTGGCTGGTGCTTGTGCTGCCCCACCGAGAACCCATCGCTGCTGGGCTCCAGGGTAGCATGTGTCCCCTTCCCAGGGTAATTCCTGGCCCTTGCTGTGCAGGGATGAGCTCCAGCATGAGCAGCTCCTTGACAACATGGAGAGTGCGGAGCACGAGCTCGAGGGGGAAGGTGGAACAAAGCCACAGAGCAAAGGGCTGGTGTTCAAAATTGCCTCCAAACGTAAGTGTGACCCTCCAGGGCATCCAGGCCCAAGGTTCCCAGCTGGGGAAGGCATCCAAGGCATCATTCCTGGGGAAGTTCCCAAGCCCTGCTGCTCCCTAGGGGCTGTAAAAGCAGCTAAAACCCACCTGGAGACTTTGGGACAGCTGTGGATGTTTGCTGTTCGCTGTTTGTTTTTACTTCTGTAGCATCTTCTTCTCTCCCACCTCAGCCCTTCTGTGTTCCTTGTCTTCATGAACCTCCCTCTGGAGACACTGCCCTGGTGGCCGAGGTCCTGCTGTGCCAAGACACCTGTTTTCCTTTCTCCTTCCTCTATGGGCTTTGCATTCCTGCTGCCTTGGATCACGGGGGGACCGTATCCCCCTTTCCTCTGGCTCGGTGACTATTTCCCTCCTTCTCCTTTCTTGCTGTACCTCGGGTTTCCACTGTGTGGGAATAGAAGGGCTTAAAATCCCAAATAATGGCTTTATCTTGCAGAAGGGCTCAGAGGGAGTGTAATCTGGGGGATTTTCTGACCCCCTGATTTTTTTTCATTTTAAAACACGGGCATTTCAGGTATCCAGAGGAGCACACGTGGTGCTTATGGGGCACTTTTTTGTCCCGCCAGGATACAGGACAGTGGATGCTCTGCTGCAGCGCATGTTCGAGGCAGAGATACCCCTGGAGGATGAAGGCCCTTCCTTTGAAGAGATCCTAAACTTGTCGCCCACCTCGGTTCCCAGGAGCCCGAGTTCGGAGAGCGCGGCGTGAGGGGGATCAGGGAATGGAGCCCATTCCCGGCTCTCCGGCTGTTCCCTGGCTGCTCCCACTCGTGGGGCCCGGGTTTCACGGTGGGAACAAACAGCTTTGTCCTGTAAAAGAGCTTTTATCTCACGTAAAATCCCGTAGGAACGTCTGGAATGCGGGGGGCAGTGGGAGCAGCCGGCTGTGCCCGGAGAGGGACGGTGCCGTGGGCAGTACGTAATGGAATAATTACTCCTTGTAACTGGAATTGTATTGCAGCACTTTTATACGCACCTCTGCACCGGCGGACGCGGAACGCAGCGGTTCTTTGGCACAATAAATTCAGCAGTTTGGAAAAACGATGGAGTATCTCCGAGTTAATGACGGGAGAGGCTGGTGGCAGGTGCGAAGTGAGGAGCGGGGGATGCTCCTCGACTTTCCCGTTTATTCCGCAATTCCTCATTTCTGCCCTCCCGGCCCTCAGCGCCGCGCCCAGGGAACGGCGCGTGCGGCGGGGGGCGGGGCTCCTGTCTGATTGACGTGGGTATCGACCAATGGGATTGCAGCACGGGCCGAGGGCTGGCCAATGGGAACGCGGTGCCGGCCCGAGCGGTGAGTGGGATAACGGGATCGGGATAACGGGATGGATAGCGGGAGAGCGGGATGGGGAGCGGGATAACGGGATAGCGGGATGGGGAGAGGGATAACGGGATAACGGGATGGGGAGCGGGATAACGGGATAGCGGGATGGGGAGAGGGATGGCGGGATAACGGGATGGGGAGCGGGATGGCGGGATGGAGAGAGGCATAACGAAATGGGGAACGGGATAACGGGATAGTGGGTTAACGGGATAATGGGATAGCGGGATGGGGAGCCGGATAGCGGGATAATGGGATAACGGGATAACGGGATAATGGGATCGGGACAGCGGGATCGGGATAACGGGATAACAGGATGGGGATCGGCATCAAGGGATGCCCCGACCCCCGGAGCTGTGCGGATGCCGGGGCCACGCAGATCCGCGGGGGTGGCAGAACCTCCGGGCGCTTCCCTCCCTCCCTGATCCCGGCCTGATCCCGGCCTCTTCCCTGCAGGAATTACGAGGCTCAGATCCGGAATTACCGGGGGCCCGACCCGCTGGAGCGGTGGGACAGGTGAGCGCAGCCCTGGCTCGGGAAAGCAGCAGGAGCTCTGAGAACAGAGCTGGAAGCAGACTCCAGCTGGGTAAGGCAGACTCCAAATCCTTTGGAATTAGAACTGGGCAGGGATGAGAAGAATTAATTGCTAAATTTGTAGCCCATGGATTCCTGAGCAGGATCCCAGCAGGGAGGATTGGTGGGACACTCCACTAGAAAGTCTGGCCTGGGGGCTGTTCCCAGATGGGAGCAGAGAGCCCTGGAATTGCCTGAAGGGAAGAAAGAGGGGTCTTTTCAGCACAAGGATCAGCTGTAAACCTGGAGATGTTCCCAGATGATCCCTTGGGAGTGTTTAGTTCTGAGCCAAGTCCAGCTCCTGCTTTGTGAAGCTCAGAAATCTGGGAATCCCCAGCTAAGGTGGGGAATAGTAGGGAAAAGCATCCCAATAGGGGGCCTCCTTTTGTACAGGAATTGAGTAAAAATTGTCCCAAGGAACAGGAATTAAATGGGATTTATGTATTCCTTGGAGACCCCAATCCACTGGGAATGTTGAGAGAAGGAAACAAAGTCTAAAAAGGCAAACAAGCCAAATCTGCCCAAACCCTCAAATGGGCACATTCCCTGGCAGTGCTGAGGAATTCAGCCAAGCTCAAAGAAAAAGGTGAGCCCCTATGGAATCCTCTATGGGACACCATAGCCAGCTGTGACTCTTGCAGGTTATCCCAGTTTCAGAGAATATGTCCTTTTTTTCCTTTGGAAATTCATTTTTCCTTTGGAGAAACACTTTGATCACTGCATAACTTTATTGTTTGAGCCTCACCGGTCACCTGGGGTATCCAAGCCCATGGAATTCCCCACATGGGGAATTTCTGGCAGAGACCTGGAGAAGAAAGAAGGCTCCAGCTTTGCAGATCTGTGTCATAAACCATCCTGTCAGCCACTGTTTGATCCCAGCGGATTTGTCCTCTTGGATTCAATCTGCGCATCACTAATTGCTGGGAATTCAGCAGCCTTCGGGACTTTTCCATGAAACCTCTCCATCCTGCCCTTCAAACCTGTTGCACAAAGAAGGAAAACCCAAAACTCCTTTTTTTCCCCCCCTTTTCCCCTTCACTTTGACCTCTCTTTTCCAGCAGGAACAAAAAAAAAAGGAGCCCTTTTTTGGGCTATGCAGGCTTGGATGTGGATGAGGTGGGGTCGGAACAGTGTTGGAACCACCGTGGATTCTCCCGAGGTTTGCTGTGAGGAGCTGCAGCTTGGGAGGGGCTGAGATTTTGTGCTGTTCGGGGTTTTTGATTTTTACTTTTTTTGCCTTTTGGGCCACCTCATTGAAAAAGCTGGAAACCAAAGAAAGCAAAGGGAATTCCCTAATTCCTTTCTAGGCTTTCAGAAGAGGCACAAATCCACCTGGAGCTGCGGAAAGGGATGAGAGTGGGAACGGGAATGAGGGAGGTAATGCTGGGTTGCCCTCCCACAAAGGGACCAAAACTGCCGGGATATTCACAGCGAGGCTGTGGGTGTAGAATACTGAAACCTGTCAAGTTTTTAATTTATATATATATATA